TCAAGATTTGACACGAGAAGCTCCAGCTGAAGCTGGATGCTTGTACAATTACACTAAAAGAGCTTTTACATAAAGTCTAAACTATTAATCAGACGACAAGAGGCATGTAGTAGATTGTATGCAACAGGTTTAAAAGCAAAGTTTTGATCATGTTGATCATTTAGAAATGTATGTATCAAATATGATTTATAATGTTAAGGACTGTCTTAGTTCATGATTTTTCATGAATCAACCCTTGTGGGGTTTGAACGAACAACATTTCACCACTGCTGAACACAGACGAGCTTCTGATGCTGCTTACATTAATGATCATCAGATGCATGATGGTCTTGGGCATCAGGTCTCGTACAGTCTTGTTGACGATGCCCATGTAGGAGTCCACCAGGTTTCGGATGGTCTCCACCTGCCTCTCCAGCTGAGGATCCATGGAGTGCATGAAACTGTCCGAACCGTTCTCGTCTCCAGCGTCGCTCTACAGACAAACACAGACACAATCACACAAACACGGAAATCGGCAATGCAAAAGATGCATAAAAAATCTCAATGCTACTCAAAGCTTGTACCTTTTCCTTCTCCTAGAGTGACGCCACGGGAAGCAGCGTGAGAGAAAGAGAAAAGCATTTTGAGGTGCATCATTTCTATTCATGCATTCCTACTCACATCTGATCAATCTGAACACACACCACCACGCGCTCAGGATAGACGCCGGCACGCAGGAACGAAGCCTTCCATCCGTCCACATCCTCCTGACTCTCGCAGGCCAACTCCAGCTGACGGTAGTCCTTATACACGTTCCTGTCATGGCATTAGATGGAAACATGATAGTCAACATGATAGTCGAAAACTTTTTTATCCAGTCAAAGCTCTTTTAGTGTAATTGTACAAGCGTCCAGCTTCAGCTGGAGCTTCTCGTGTCAAATCTTGACTGATTTTATCTTCTGAGGAGCCTTTATTTCTTCAGCTCTCAATCACTGCATTATATGTTTGGAGCATTTCAGTCTCATCTTACTGAGATTACTGCAGATATAGAGCGACGTCTGATATTTAGATCAGTTTATGTCAGCATCTGCTGCACTGTTATAAAGATCTCACTGATTTACATTACAAGCAGCAGAATATCATCATCTGCACCAAATTCATGTTTTTGCTCAGTTTGAGTCTCTGAATAAAACTGAGCTGTTTTTCTTCTATATTCTCACTGTATCAGACTATATGAGCCAGAAAAGCCTGATGCATCAAATAAGATTCTCAACAAAAACACATATGTGCATTTTTTTTAGATTAAATAAAAAAAAAGATCTAAAGGTTCAATAAACTGTTCCATTTTTTTTTTTTAATTATGATTTCATATGTCAGGCTTTACAGGGTTAAAATAGAGCCTATTGAAACTGTTAATGCTGATCTTACTGTGATTGATTCATCAATGCATCTAATTCTAAAGAAAAAATACATAAAAATAATAACTTTGTCCATATTTGAAATAACTTTTCTCTCTGTCTTTTTTTTTCACATAAACATACATTTTGTTCCCATTGAACATCTTGTTTTAGTTTAAACTAACGTCACATGACAAAAGGTTGTGGAAGCTTTTTTATGTTGGCTATTCGCAATCATTATTAAGGATTATGACCTCTGACCTTTGCTCAGTGTTGAACAGGGCAAAGATGTGTTTGCTGGACATGAAGCCCTTCTCCACATCTCTGAACTTCAGATTGTCCACCTGTAGCATGTACTTCTTCTCTTTCTCCTGCGGGGGGCAGAACAGAGTTTACTGGGATTAATGAAAAGTGTGAGAAAGATTGTGTGTTGATCGTGTTTCAGTGACTTTGACTTGAAGTGATTCAGCTTGAAATTGCTTAAGACCTTGAAGAAAAGACAGAACAGAAGACAGACAAGTCCTAAGCAGTTACTAAAGTGTTCAGAGTAGTTTGTAGTGTGTTGCTATGCAGTTGGTCTTCAGTGACACTAAAATAACACTGAGTTTCGATTAGAGAGAAGATAAAGTTAGTGCAAAGTTAGTCCCCTATTTTATCATAGGTGAGAGTGTGTGTGTGTGAGAGAGTGTGTGTGAGAGTCTGTGTGAGAGAGTGTGTGTGTGTGTGAGTGTGTGTGTGTGTGAGTGAGTGAGTGAGTGAGTGAGTGTGTGTGTGTGTGTGTGAGTGTGAGTGAGTGAGTGTGTGTGAGAGTGT